GCTGCGACTGGGAACCTCAGCGAGGCAGCGCAGGCGGCATGGCGTTCAGTGCCCAACGAAAGCGGGCACGTTTCGACGGCCTGCAGCAAACGCCGCCGGTAGAGCCGGCCAGCCGTGCGCGCCTTCTGCGAGGCGCAGGAGAACGGCGAGACACCATGTCAACCACGCATTCCGGCAACAGACCACGTCCACCTGCTGTTGGCAACAAAGTGTGAGCACGCGCGCCATTTACAGCAGGGTGCAGGAGTCGAACAAGGTGAGCCCGTGAGCCCAACGTTTTTCAGCCTAGGCTTGCGTGCAACTTTGCGGATTTGCAACTTCATGTCTTCACGTACTCGGATGACGTTACCATTCCTGCCAGCCCAAAAAACATTGGATGTTTCTTCTTTTTCCGCACACTTTTTTACGGTGGGCCACTTGCGGCGGCAGGAAGCTCCAGGAGCGAAGGCTCGCTGCGTTGCAAACGACCTCCTCGATCCTCCTGGCGTCGCTGACCGGCACATCAATGTTCATGTCAGCGACACGAACATTGTGCGTGACACGCGCCGGCTTCGCGGCAGACGCGGGCAAGGGCGTGCGAGCGGCAGTGCTCGATTCGGAAGGACACCCGAGGTGGAACTGGCAAAGGGTCGAGGTGGGAGCGGGCACGAGATGCTGCCTCCCGTCTGCCCTGCCCTGCTCCCTCCTGCCCCTGCCCACTGCCCCTCCCTGCCCTCTGCCTCCAACTGCCCTGGTCACACGTTTTGATTTTCAGGCAGCGAAAACCGGAAAAACCGTGCGTCCAGGCGGTCCTCCCTTTTGCATGCATGTTGTACGCAAGGGAGTCCCACTGTGTGTGGGCTGCGGGCGATCGCTCCCACGGCATCCTTCAAGCCGCGGGTGGAGATCAAGGCGATCTGCTGATGCCGGCCATGTTTTCCCTGGCATTGCAGCCCGTGTTGCGCACGATCCAGTCCGAGCTCCACCCCGGAGAACAAGCCCTAGCCTACCTAGGACCTAGACGACATCTACATCCTAGCCCCCCCTCCAAAGCTGCGGAGTTGTACAGGCGCCTGGAGCAGCATTTGTTGCGGCATGCGCACCTTCGTCTCAAAGCCTCCAAAACGAAGGTGTGGAACTGTGCCAGCTGCCACCTGGCGTGCCCGCCCTCGCCCCCGACTCCCCTATCTGGGTCGGCGATCCCGCGTTGCCCGTGGCCGAGCGTGGTATAGTTGCCCTCGTCCTGGTCGGCACACCGGAGTTCATTGAGGCTCACTTGCGCACGGTGCTTTCCCGCCAAGCAAGCCTGTTGGACACCCTCCCTGCTTGCCTACCTTTTCCTACTGCGCGGCTCCACGGGCGCAGTATGCGATTCGCAACTTGCCGCTACAACACACAGGCGTATGCTGCTGGCCATGATGCTGCAGTGCTGCCTTCTTTATGCCGCCGCTGAGCACAGCTTGCTCTACGGCATGGCGGACTTGGGCTGCGACGCGCCACCAGACATGCACCGGCTGCGTACTGGGCTTCCTGGGCCGACGCACTGCGCGCCATTAGCCGCCGAGATGCCACCCTTGCCCGCAACATCGTTGGCTCCCTGGCCGCTCCCCGCCCGCTGCCTGAAGCCCTTGAGTCCTTACGCGTTGCCCGCAACTCTTTGGCAGCCATCGATTTCGACCCCCCCATTCGGGAAGAGTTGCTACAGGTTGAGGCGCCGTCCCAGCCCGAGGAAGACCCTTCCCTCGACCTCACCCGTGGGTGGCAGCGCCCCGCGTCCCAAGCCGTTGACGATTTCTGCCACCGTGCCTTCGTGAGGGAGACTGATGCTGCTTCGGCCGCCTTGCTGGAGTCGCAAGCTGGGCCGCACGCTGCGCGTGTCCTACCGCTCGCCCCACCCAGCCAAAGTTCACCCTTGCTTCCCCTCTCTTCCGAGCAATTCTCCTGCACAGACTCCGCTTGCCGCTGCCGCTAACCCGGTGCCGTGCACTCCACGACCAAGGGCGAGGGGTGGCCCCGTCGAGCGAGCGGCCGCACGGATCTGCCGCCAGACTGGTGCAACGGTTGCCCTCAATGTGTTGGTGCGGGACCTCAATGCCACCCCTGTCCGCCAAGACGACAGGCGTATTGAGGTCATTGCCAGCGGCCTGCCGCTTTGGGGTCGCACTATAGGCGCCGCGCTGCTCGCTTCGCCACGAGGCAAAGAGCGCACCTGCCCTGAGCTGTGCAGGTCTGGCCGCTGCAGGCTCACCGTCCTTGCCATTGAAGTGGGCGGCCGCTGGAGTGCTGAGGCCGCCACCTTCGTAAGACAGCGTGCACGGTGCAAGGCACGCTCCGCTCCGCCACCCTCGAGAGCTGCTGCCATCTCCGCGTTCACCCTCCGATGGTCGGCGCTTTTGTCCTTCGGTCCTTCGCAGCAAGCCTCCAGTCGCTCCCACTCACCGGCACCGCGAATGTCGATGGAGAGCTACCCCCACTGAGTGACATGCGCGCCGACTCAGCCTCACCGCCTCCTCTCGCTAGCCGTCTTGTGAGCGGCGCGCGCTGCGCCTGGCAGCCTGCCTGTAGTCTGTGGCCTACCTGCACTGGGACCGCGCTGCTTGTTGGACGGTGAAGAAGGTGTGTGGGGAAGAAAACCGGAAAACAGCGCCGACAGACCCAACAGGTAACATGGGAGGAGCCTTGTGCTGCGACGCGACCCTTGTGTCGCATCTGACCCGCACGGGCCAGCCACAACCCGGCACCGCGGTGCACGACGGCGCCACGCTGCGGGTTGCCGAGCGGCGCAGGCGGGCAGCTTACCCCGAGCTCAGCTCCGGAGGCCGCGGAGGCCCGCAACGGCTCCTCGTGCTCGGCTCCGAGATAGGTGGGCGCTGGAATGAAGCATCCGAGACTCCGAGACTTGGTGCGCATCCGAGCCCAACGCGCTGGGCGGCTCTGGCCGTAGCACACGCGAGCCAACTACCGAGCCGGGAGCTGGACCGTGTGCTCGACTTCGCCGCAGCTGCGGGGCCGAGCCGACTGCCGCTGCGCTAGCCAAAGTCGGGCCATGAGCGGCCTGCCGCCGCTGTAGCCGTATAAGTGCGAACTAACATGCTCGCCGCTTCGTTCTGCGGAAAAAAAAAAACATAACCTCATCCGCCCAGTCCTCCATCCATCCCTCCCTCCTTCCATCCATCCGTCCATCCATCCATCCATCCATCCATCCATCCATCCATCCATCCTTCCCTGGCATAGGCGCAAGGATCTCCATTATGCCAAAGGGGGCTGAGGATTCCCCAACGATAGACTTTCCCGGCTTTTGCGACCACAAGGTCCACCCTCCCTAGGCGCGACCAGCCACCAGATGGATTGGATTCGAACGATTAACTGTGTTTGGGGATGCGCCGGCGGCCACAATCAACTGCGCAGGCCTAGGCCGCCATGGCGTAACTGCACACCAGCGGTGACTTGCCCGGACCCTCTCGCCGTCAGCGAACAAGAATGAGTCAAGGCACCTTAAGACCAGACTGCGCCATCATGACAAGTTTCGTACTCGTGCGTGCTGGCAAGCGGGAGCTTGCGGAGAGCAGATTGCACCTGCGAGCATGCGCAGTACGACAACAGCATCCGCCCGACTTGTGTGTCGTGCAGGTTTTGCAATTGTTCGCCGCCCCAGGAGTTTTCCGCAAATGTCCTTGCACGAACTCGGGCGACTCCGGCGTGAGCTTCGGCCGCCTGCTGCACTCGCAGGCTGGCCCGGTCACAGCACGCACGCTCGCTGGACGACCTGCATCGCCAGAGCTCACCTCCTCCTTGTTCCGCGCCCGGCGCAGCCGGCTGCACCGGCTGCGCCGGCTGCGCTTGCCGTTGCCGTACCACGCACGCACGCACACTGGGGTCCTTTGCTCCCGTCTCGAACGTGCAGCTGCCCAGATCTGCCGTGCGACCCTTCCTCAATCTGACCGCACAGCGCCAGGATGAGCGGAAAATTGCAGTCATTGTCGCTGCCTTTGCCTATGAACTACAACTTTGGGGGGGTTTCCCAGCTTGCAGGCGACACTGCGTTGGTTTTTTTGCGGTTGCGCCGCGCAGAGCTGGCGGCCGAACGATTGTTGCCACCCTATGCTGTAGGCTCTGTGTCCTCGCTCGTGAGCTCGGACGCCATTGGAGGAGTGCTGCAGCTGCTGAGTCCGTGAGCAAAACTGCATTGACGAATCGACCTGGTCCTACATTTCATGTGTCGAGTTCGCCGTCGTTTAAATATTCGTTTTGGCTCCGAAGACGTGGGAACGGAACACAAGGGCAATGTGTTATGTGTGTTAGTTGACGGGGCGCCTGGGTGTCCGACCCGTTGCGGCCGGTGGCCCCTCAGCACCATGAGCAAGCGACGACCTCAGATCATGCAGGGCGGCACTTGCGTTTGTCAGCAGGTGTCAACTCGCTTCCAAGGACCACTGCACCCAAGCCAATTGCTCCGGCCGGTGGTCAGCGGCTTCACAAAGCATGCATGCGGTTTGTTCGCGCCAAACTGGAGCGGTGCTGACAGCCAAGGCTCCGCTTGGAGGCATTACCAATCCAAGGAAGTGCATTCCTTGGCGGTGCTCCTTGCTCCTTGCAGGGCCACAGGATATAAGACAATAGGACTGCACTAGCTGCCGTGGTATTCGTGTTTTGAATCTAGATCTGGCTGGTTGCGGTGTGCAGGGGAGTACGTGGAAGTTTTCGGAACAACCGAGGTGCTGGGTGCAGCAGGATCGGCTGGCCTCATCGGTATATTCTCGCGCGGTCCTCATTCTGCCATGGCGGAGTTATGGAGCAGTCGATGCATCAACAGCTTGGCGACCGATGTTTGCTCCCGCTGAAACACATGCCGAGATTTACATCAAACCGGAAGACATGTATTGAAAACATTTGATGTAGACATGAATCGAAAACACAAGACGTGAAGCCGGATAGCCCGCCGACATGTCATGTTTTGCGGAGACATGTAATGCAAGTCTGAAGCGCCATGGTATGATGCGCTGGCGGCTGAATAATGAATAATGGAGGGAACGGCAGCTTTTCATGAGCACAAGCTGCGTGTCTGCAAGTTTGGTCCGGTGTTGATTTTTGTGCGGTAATCGCCTTACAGTGGTCGTTCCGTTAAGAATTTTTAGGTATGCAGCGGCTGTGGTTGGGCGGCTCCTGCACCCGCTGAGCAGCGCTTCAGCCGCTGGGCGTCAACAGCGTCATGAACGAGACACTTTTCACGAGGCTGGGCCGAGGGGTTCTGTGCAGATTTTTGCTTTCGGGAGCGGTGTCGGAGTCACATCGAGGGACCAGGCCTCCTTGCTTGGCCGGCATGAAGGCCTGACATCGCAACTTAGGATACTTCGCTTCCGGCTCATCCTCTAAGCCTGAAGAACCTGACAGGGATAATGTTGTTGACACCAGGGGAGGTGCGGGCCCGTTCCTTGATATCTCCATGTTTGCGCGAAGTTAATTTCGAACGCATGTGTAGTTACACATCCCGCATTACATGTCGTCGCTTCTTTTCGCAGAGCGAGAGGGACAAGTATGCATACAGCCGATTGGCGCTGTTTGCAGCTTTGCTTGGTGGATTTGTTGGGACGGTTCACGTGTTGATTGGTTTGTGAACTGTGCTCGTTGTTTGAGCAACTTGGAGTCGAAGTCGATTGCTTTACGTCGGACAGTTGCGTCATTCCTCTAGTTAAGCTGATTCACGTAGCCTTCCGGCCACTCCTCCAAGTTGTCTGCAGGCTGGGTGGCTGGTTGTCTCGGCTTAAGTTCTGATCGGGGTTCGCTGGAATTCAGCATCATTCTTTTTCGCAGTTGCATTTTTGTAGGTGTGGCCACTTCAAAAGACCTCGAGTGTTATTCTGGCTGTTTCTGCTGTTCCTGCTGTTCAGGGTCTGATGGTACAAAGGAAGCTCTAGGAGGTGACGGTTCTTGTGTTTGCGTCGGCCTGAGCTTTCCCGCGGCAGGCTTGCGCGTCAGAGGACTGCTGTGCGGATCGCTGCTCGACCCTCCCGAAACCAAAAGCAGTTCGCTTCAGGAGCTGCTGTCCGAGCTTGGCGCGCGGCTTGGTGACTGGATCTTAGTAGTGTCGCCACGGCCAAACTCCTTCGCTTCACACGATCCCTGTTGGCTTCGGCTGGTGGCCTCGTCAGAAGTTCTTGTTTGTCCGCCTCCGCCCTGGCGGAAACGAAGGGATCTACCGTTGATACACTTGCCAGCACAGATCATTGAACTCTTGGGTTCGACACCAGGTCGTACTGAAGTGTCTGTCGCGTTTCGAGAAGCCTTGGCGCCCACAGAGTGTTCTCGACTGGTGGTCTCTTCCGTGCCGTCCTTCTTGGGCCAGGAAACTGCCATGATGCGTTTTCGCAGCGAAGCTGCCTTGCGAAGCTTCTTTCATGTGCCTCGGGTACTGAAGCGAGGCGAGGTCTTCAGTGTTCCCGCTGATGGCTTGCCAGATGTTCTCTGCGAAGTGGAAGTTCCGGCAGATCCGACCAAAAGGCCCAGGCCGCAGCGCATGCCTCCCGGCGAGGAGGGCGACGATGTGTACGAGATGGCGGCTTGTTCTGGTCGATCCAGAAGGTTCTTGATAGACCCCTTGCATGGCACCGCGTTTTGCGACCTTGTCAGCTTCAAGGTGGAGGTTGTCGAAGGCGGAGAAAGTCAGAGCACAACTGTCCGGGTCGACAGCCGGTCTGCTCAGATCTTGCTGAAAGGGCAAAGTCAGGCACGTGGCCTGCCATACTGCCGCTGTCATTTGTTTTGCCAGGCCCCGCCCCAGCCCCTGCCATCACTGCAAGGCCCAGCGGAACGTTTGCTTGGGATGCTGGCACCGTGCGTGCGTGGATGGGAGCTCGGTGCCAGCTCAGACATGCCATCGGTTCTGGTTTCTGGACCACGTGGATGCGGCAAACGGGTCCTCTGGCACAGCGTGTGTGAACGGCTTGGATTACACTTATTCGAGATGAATTGCACTGCTCTGGCAGCAGAGGGTCTGGGCTCACTCGAGGCCAGGCTTTCAGAAGCTTTGGCTCAGGCGGCGGGGGTGTCGCCGTGCGTTTTGTGCTTGCGCAGGTTGCACGCCCTGTCTAGCTCGGGGGCGACAATGTCTCCTGCTGCGACCTTGCTTCAGCAGCGTCGCATTGAAGATTTCCTGCAAAGTGCCCTGCAAAAGGCTCGCACAAGTCCTGCGCTGGGCGGTAAAAGTCCGTTGGTGCTGCTGGCTGGGTCTTGTGAGAGCTTGGATGATCTCGGGGGACCCATTCGGCAGAGCTTCAGTCAAGAGCTGGCCGTGCCTCGGCCAAACGAGGTGGCACGCAAGTTTGCCATTTCGGAGTTGCTGAAGCGAGTGGATACCACACCAAGCGCCGTTGCGGTCATGAATGGAATGTCTGATTCCAGCGAGAAAAACACCGAACCAACGGTCATCGCAGCTATGACAAAGCTGACAGCCGGCTTGTCTTACAGTGATTTGCGGTCCGTATGTGCCGAGTTGGCGATGAAGAAGTCAACCCTGAGCAGCCTCGAAGCAACGGCGACGGCCAGCTCTGAGGTCCAACAAGCTGTGGAGCAGGCGGTTAAGCGGCTGCAAGGAGGCTCAAAGGTTGCAGTGACTCTGGCTTCCAAGATACAGTGGGCCGATGTTGGTGGTTTGCAAGATGCAAAGGAGGAGATCATGAATTGCATCACACTGCCGCTGTCGCAGGGACAAATGTTCGAAGGTCAGAAGGTTCGAAGCGGTGTTCTGCTTTTCGGACCTCCAGGTACTGGCAAGACCTTGCTGGCAAAGGCAGTTGCAACGGAGTGCAAGGTTCACTTCTTGTCTGTCAAGGGGCCCGAACTACTGTCCATGTACATTGGTGAAAGTGAGAAGAATGTCAGATCCTTGTTTCAAAGTGCAAGAGACTTGGCGCCTTGCGTCTTGTTCTTCGACGAGCTCGACTCTTTGGCTCCTGCACGTGGTCGTGGAAGCGATTCTGGTGGAGTCATGGACCGGGTGGTGTCGCAGTTAGTGACGGAGCTAGATACCATGCCGTCCACAGTCTTCATGGTCGGAGCTACCAACAGACCGGACTTGCTAGATCGGTCGCTGTTGCGTCCGGGACGTTTGGACCGGATGGTGTACCTAGGTGTCGCAGCTGACAAACTCCCCCTTCTCTCTGCCATCACACGGAAGTTTGTGCTGGAAGCAGCCCCTGCGAACGGGGCTAAACGTGCGTCGAATCTCCTTGCAGCAGTTGCGGAGGCTTGCCCTCCAAACCTCACAGGCGCAGATGTTTCTGTCTTATGTGCCGATGCGTACGGAATCGCACAGCGTGAGCACATCTCCAAGCTCCACGAAGCTGCTGATTTGCTGCAGACTCCGATCAGCACCTTCTTGCTTTTTCTGGATGCATTGGAGCTTCATCTCACCAGTGCTTTGCCCGGCCTTCGCACTTACGACGCCTTTTGGAAGCTGAGCGCATCGCATGGGATCGCGCTGGTGCAGCTGTGACTTGGCAATGATGGTGTCCGGGTTCGAGGGCGTTTTGTAACATGGACGTGGAGTCTCATGTCGAGCAGGTTCCCGGCTGTGTCAGACGAGGCCTTTTCGAATTTATTGTAGCATTCCGGTTCGGCATTTACGCTATTTGGCTCGGTGCTTCTGATGCCAGGCAGAGCCCCAACGTGCATCGGCCTTGCAGTTGTACAGTGCAGAGGCTCAGGCAAGTGTAGCACGCAGCTGGTCAACGTCACACGGCAAAGTCTTGCAGGAATCTTTCGTTATTGCGCATGTCTCTGGCAGCCCTGGACCTGGACGAGGCTCGGTGCCCCAACGACGTTTCATGCTCCCAGCACTCATGCTTCTCCGTTTTTGGCCGAGGTTTCGCCATTGCCTGCTGCTCCGAAGAAAATTTCGACGACCTGTCTCGCCGCACTCTGGCGAAGTTCGTGGCATCGTTAAGAGATCTCATTACATACTCTCGAGCTGCTCTGCTTCCCTGACGTCAGGATGGCTCTCCCACGCTCGTCCGCAGGGAAGCGATGCCTCAACATTGAAGCTGTTGTGGATTGCTAAGCTATTGGAGTCCGCACATGGTGCGATTAAAAAGTGGAGCCTGCATGACGGCTGGACTAGGTCTGGTTTCGACTTGCTGCATCCGCTGCAAGTCCGGGTGGGATTAAGGCGGACTGTGCAAGGGTTGCGGTTACTCCGGAGGAGAGTGATTCTGTGGTCTTGGGAGGCACTTCCAGCAGGCGCTTTCCAACCTGCAACCTTCCGTGCCCTTGGAGGAGCCTTGACTCGCGGGGAATTTTCCGAACGGCGATTTGAGTTTTGGCTTAAGCGCCGAGGACCTGCAACGCTACGAGCAGCTGCGGGCAGAGTATCAGAACACCAAGGGCTGAGAATGGCGCCGTTCTCCTGACCGTGCAAAGTGCGAGGAAAAAGGAGGCCGAAATCGATTCGGACAGCCATGCAAGAAGCCAAGGCCGAGTTCGAAGCCCGGCGAAGTCGTCGATAATGAGCTTCTAGAAGCCCTGCCCTGAGTAGGCCTTCATAGGCCTTCAGAGCTTCCAGCAGTTTCCAGAAGCCACGACCTGATCCGAGGCAGAGGCGACCGAGGCGAAAGCTCGGAGATTCGCAGGCGATCAGGGTGAATGGGGGGAAGGGGGGGAAGGGGGGGAAGCGGGGGGCGGACGATCCTGATTCTGATTTCAGGGCTTACCTGGGACGTCGGTGGCGTTCCTCCTCCAGACTTTGTTATTGAACCGGACGAGCCTGGGCGCCTGGGCAATGCGATGTGTTGCCAAGTTGCTGTTCGCTTTGCTTGGTGCCCTGGAGGGGTCTTCGTTCCATGTAAGGTCGGGCGCGCTCTGTCGTGCACAGCTGTCTGTGTTCAGCAAAGGCATCAAGGACGTCTCTGTCAGTACCGCTACTACCAGCCCTCTCTCTCTCTCTCTCCTCTCTCTCTCTCCTCTCTCTCTCTCTCTCTCTCTCTCGCTCTCGCGCTGTAGCAGTCTGCTCGAAACTCTTCTCTGTGAGAGCCATTGGTGGCTCGAACCTAAGACTTGTCTGCCAAGTGGAGCGCGTCCGCCAGAATGAATTTTCAGGTGGCCACCACCAGGGATCAGCCATGGGAGTGCAACAACGCGTGAGAAGTGCCCTGATATGCAGGTCGAGCGCTCGCAAGATGAAAGTTCAGGCCAGGAAACAGAGGCAGAGGAGAAATAAAAGAACTGCCAAGTCAGAGCATCGGCTGCTGAAGGTCCAGTGCACCCTTGTATTGCCATTTGCGTGGGCATGCTCCTGATTGTCATCGGTCCATTCGCCGCTTGTCTGGGCTTTCGTGCCTCTTTGTCAGGTATGTACATGGAGTTTCTTTTCTTGCTGTGCTTCAACCCGTTGTCATCTTGGAGCATCAGTTCATCTGGCACACGGAGGGCGACTATGTCAAGATTCTGCAGGCACGCAAACGATGCATGCTGACGCTGATATTCGGGAACATCAATCCAGTACTAGAAGTGTCTTCAGAATGAATGCGGTTCAGGTGGCCTGTAGGCTCAGGGAGGTGGCTCTTGAATTGAAGTAAATCTGAACGGCGATCATCTCGTGTCCAGGTGCTGGATGAAGCAACGAAGGCACGTGCGCATGCAGGAAAAGTCACTGTACAGAAGCAGTGCTGTTGGCAGGGTGCGAAAGAGCCATGCTCTGCTATGCCACTTGCTTGGCCTGCGCTTGTGTTTTTTCTTGGCATGCCACGTACGAGTTTGGCTTTATGCAGCCGAGGTGCACATCGTGCGATTTTTCAAAAGTGAACGATGGAGATCTAGCCGCCCGTCTTGTCAGTTGATGTCGAATCATTTTTTGTATTGTGCGAGGTGGGGAATGTCAGAGCGGCAGCGTATCGCCCACATGTACTGTGAACATGATCTCCGACTTCTCCCCGCTTAGATCTATTTGGCCTGCCCTTTCCACAACTTGAAGACCTTGACGGATGTTCGAAAGGCCCGCGCAGAGTAACACTGGATCCATGGGCAACATGTGTGGATCAGTGCTCGAGAGCCTGTGACCTTCGAATTGCGAGGGTGGGCCCCTTAGCCCACATTGTTCTCGATGAAGTGCTGCTGCCGAGCTATCGTCACAGGAGGGCGGATTCAACATCAAGGAACTGGAGCCAGCCGTTTCCGGGAAAGAAGCTGCTGCAGCCTACAGTTGGCTCCTTGACAGCGTGTATGAAAGGGCTGCTGTCGTCGTTTTGGAGGCACCTGTGCAGCATTCATGACTAGGGACTAGGAGAGGTCTCAGTAACATTCATGAGACACGGTGTCTATTCCAGTTGGATCGTTCGTCGCGCCAGGGCACAGTGGACACAGTAATGAGCTTGGAGGCGTGATACTTGTGCAGAGTTGGCACACGAGCGGCCGAAAGAATTGCTCCTGGCATACGATTTGGAGCCGAGGACGGTCGAAATGTTCCAGTTCGAGCAGGACTTAGACACCTCGCAGTCTGTCACGGTGAAAGCGCACGACGAATGCACCTTTGGAATTGTCACTGGAGAGGCACAAAGCGGGAGCGAGTTGCGTTTGTGAGATTCACTGCTGCTGCTGCTGCTGCTGCTGCAGTAGCTCAGTCACTTCGAGGGTTGGTTTAGGATGATAGTTTGCAACCTGCCTCAAACCGGCACTTGCCAGGCTAAGAGAAGCGCGTGTTGCGACTCGATGAATTCACCTGGTCGTAGAAAGCCGCTTGGACCACTCAGATGCTCCCCACGGACAGTTTGGAGCGACAGTCTATGAAATCTTCTGGACTCTGGCTTCCGTTAGGTTTGAGCGGCTGTACGTTGGGCGAACAAACAACGCCCGGTGCCACCCGGCCGGAAAACGGGTAAATTCCGAGAGCTTCCTCCAGGTGCCTTGGACGTGCAAGAGAGCCCAGGGTTCAAGGGACGTGTAGCGAAGCGGAGGACTTGCTTTTGGAGCAGAAAGTTTGGGTGGGGTTTTGCTGCCATACAGATGCTTGGACAGTATCTCAAGCTCATCCCGCTTCAGAAGTTGGAAGTAGGGAGGAAGAACTTCGCAAGTTTCAGGAGATCGACGATACGGGGCTTCAGCTGGAGAATTCGACAGAGGTCAGCTCCACGATTTCATGACTTGAGACCTGGCACTCACGGCGTCTTCCATGGCGCCGTGTTTCACGTCAATATGTTTACGCAGCCAGGTATCGACTCGTTTTGCCCTGCTCTGCCAGGATATACTTCCAGAGCACAAGCGAGCCTGTGCTGAAGATAGTGCTCGGGTCGTGCTGCGCAGCAACCTTACTGAAGGACTGCTTTCTTTGGAGTTGCTGAGGACGGAGATTGCGAAGGGATGATGACAAGCCGGCAGAACCTGACATCCACTGCCACCCGGATGATTGCATGCTCTACGGCAAATTGTACGATGTCCGTGCTGGTGAGAGTCGAAAAACAGGTTCGTACCCCTGCAAGCACTGGACCGGCAGATGGTCCGTTAGAGAGGTCCCGACGAAACCATCAGTCGCCCGGAAGCAGTGCTTGACGGATCGCAGTCGGGGAAGGCAAGCATCACATGCTCCTGTTCCTTTACAGTCGGAGGAACCATTGCAGAAATAGAAGACAAAGTGAACTGACACATTGCCTCAGCTGCGTGCATTCGCTGATGATCTCATGGCATCCCGGCAAGAGAGGCTTGGGACTGGTTGCCCGACGACCTCTCGCAGATAAATGAGGAGCGTCGCTGAGCCCTTCTCTGGTAGTGTTCGCGGCCCACGAGTGCAGGTTCAATGGATTGAAGGTGCACCTGCCGGAAACATCCCGAGACTGCCATTCCAAGGAGCATACAGCAACCCGGAGAAGTGTAGAGGCATCTAGACCAGATACTGGAACTAACACTACCAGTACTAACAAATGCCCACCAACCTGCATACCTTGTCATGCACACCCACGTAAGCCTGGTCTTGCGTAATGCCCTATTCAGAAACCATCTAGAGCCACACAAGCTCAGTAAGTCCGCCCAGGTATTTCCGGAGTTGTTGCAGGTTGGGGGTGGGTCTGAAACCAGGTTAGCTGGCATGCACGGTTCACTTCGGGAACTGCACAACGCCAACATACAGATACCGTTCTGGACCCAAAACATGTGCACAAGAGAGCCCAGGCAACGTCAAGAAAGAGCCGGGTGGCGTGACCCTGGGCGGTGTTACGCTGCAACTCTTCAAGCCCGAAGCAGGAGATGACCTTTTTCGAACGACGCTTGGCGGCACGTCCTCTGTTGCACTTCGCGCCGTTGGACTATCCGTTGCCGAGTCAGCTCGTTCACTTAAACGAAGGACCTCTACTGCACTACTGGACCGGGCAGGAGGCATTGGACTCGGTTGCTGCCTCGCACCACTGTTGTGTTAAAGCATTATGCAGGCCGCAACTCTTCTAGTTCTCCAAAATCATGTCAATGCTTCCTGATGGCGCGAGCTTTTGGCGTCTTGAGTCTGATGCTGGTGCAGTTCTTCACATGCATGCTGCTGCCGGGATCTGCTGCGGGTGCCCCCGTATACCAGCAGCCATAATGCGTCTTCAGACATTTGATGAGATTGCTGGCACAATCCGTCCTTCGTAAATTCAACGTGGCCACATGCCTTTTTGTGAGGGAAGTTGGGTATCAACCACCGGAGGGCCTGAGACCAGCCTGGAAGGAAAAGAAGGATTCTATAGAGGGGGTTCACCACTGTTCCAAGCTGCCAGGGCTTGCTGCTGTCTGTTTCGAGGTGATGCAGGGGCGCAGTCGCTAGACAAGGTTCCGATCCAGTCTACCTTCGAGACGAAATACAGCATTAATTACAAGGGCTACAGTCGGGCGGCCAAGTGGACATCCAGAGAGGCCTCGTACAGCCACCCTGGCTGCCTAGCGGCCTGTTGGGTCTGAGCAAGCTTTCTAAACGTGACTTTTCGTGTCATTCGAGAATTTTCGGACAACTCTTGCCGGGCCTTGGATTGTTTTTTGACCTAGGTGTCTAGCCCTATGGCGAAACAGAACAAGCCGGAGGGCGGGGATTTGCGGATCTGTTTCAAGCGACTCCTGGCAACGATGGAGGCAACGCGAAGGCAGTCTTTGGAGGTGCCAAGCTGTGAAAAGATGCCCTCGACCCTGTTACCTGTCTCCGACGTGTGCTGCAAAGGATCGACTACCAGCAAGGTCTCGGTTCTGGCAGGAGTCAAGAAAGATGGGAACAGCGCCTTGGACACTGAGAGGGCGGGATGGGAGTTAGAGTTAGTGCACAGACCATGTTGTGCCGGGATGTGGTGAACTGGTGGTTGAAAGGCGAAGCCTCGCAGCTGATGCCATGCTCCTCCAAGGTTTCTCTCTGATAGTGTCGGATACGCACTTGAGGGCAGAGACGGGGATGCGGTCGAACAAGCAAGGATACCGCCTGCGCCAGGACCGCAGGAGGATGCTGGTGTCGCAACCAAGCGCATGCTAGTCGCTGCTACTCTCGCAGAAGCCGCAGTATCGTGGAGAGTCGCTTTCAGGACAAGATTCTATCTTTGGCCGAGTTGGTTAATGAGGAGAAAAAGTTCAACGAGATGCTGGGCCAAATTGGACCATGGCAGTCTTCCGGTTGGGCCAGCCCTGGAAGCGCTTGCCTTGCTCCAAGGAATTGGCTCTATTTTGGAAGAATTGTTGGTCCTTTGATTCTCTGGGCTGCTTTTTATTGCTTCTCTGGTGCAGACAGCAGATCCATTTGATTGGTTGCGCATCGTTGGCATGTGCCGAGGTTTCCTTTCTCCCCTGATATGGGTGGTGGATCAGTGTCGTAGTTGCATGCCGACCCGTCCAACAGCAAGGGGAAGTGCGGATAAACGGATGGCCTCTCTGCTGCCCAGGTTCGGAGACACACTGAAAGGCATCCCCTGCATCGGAGGGTTGCTGGGTTTCCTTGCGGACTTCGTGGAAACGTGACTCGGCCAGAGTGGCAGTCCCAGGCTTAAAGCGTGGCTTTTGAAAGAGCCATGGCAGAAAGCAGTGAGGCTGGTTACCTGCCTGGTGTGCATGGTCAGCTGTTCTCTGGGTGCTGCCTGCGGGCTGTTGGGCATGGCAATGGCCTGGCTTTTTTTCAGGCCGCAGAAAGGGCGAAACTGAAGGAGCAAGCTTTGACCAAACTTCTGTGCCAGCGGCAAGACGGCAAGACCAACATGATTCTTCCGTTCCAGGCCAGTTTACGGAATCGCGCTTCTGTCCATCTCCTTGTGCCTGTTTGCGGCTGTCTTCGCTTTCGGCAGCAACCAGAAGGGTCAGAAATCAGCGCCCCGCTTGCATGCCACAGGTACTGTCGATTGATCATCGTTTACATGTCACGAGCTGCAGGTACGACGGAGGAGCGCCAGACAACCTGGCATCGGCATGCAGTCAGTGGAGCACCTTGCCTGTGGCCAGCTTTGACCAGCATAGTTACCCCTCTGGTGTCTTTGAGGAGGTTCGTCAGGCAAGCAGGAAATTGAAATGTATTGTAAATTTGCCAGTCCCAAGCTAAAGCGAAGCTGGACGCAAAAACCTAAAGTTCAACTGTTCGACATGCATCTTATCGTAGATTGGCTGCTGGCTTTTTATGCAGATGAGAGGCAGGGCCTCTGAGACAGCGGGTAAATAACACCTTCGGATCTGGCGCCCCTAGCAGTACCCATCCTTCCTCCTCCGAAACCTCCTTGTACGCCCTTATCTTCCTGTGGTGCTCCCAAGAGCCGCTGCTGTTCTGCTGCTGAAACTTCTGCTATTGCGACCGTCGCTGGCAATGCCCCGCGCCAAGCCTCGCCGATGTGCCAGAGTTTCTCATAGTTTTCGGTGAGTACCTCTCCGGCACAACCAGGATATGCTACTGAACTTGCAGGGTTCGGAGATGCAGCCTGACGGATGCTGCCAGTAGTAACGACTCCAAGAGCCAAAGAGATTCTCTGCGTTCGGCTTCCCTTGCCGACCCAGTGCATCCCCTGCATCACGAATCGCACCTCCTCCGAGGATGAATGCTACTCCCGTGACTCGGATCCAGAAGTGTGGCCACTTCATGCTGCTGGAGATTGACCATGTCACAGCCTTGAGGTACAGCCTGCGGCTTTTGCCCAAGCAGCTGTGATGCCAACCGCAGTGGTCCAGCCGGCAGTAACTTGACTTTCGTCTCGCACAGACAAGTCCACGAAGGACAGGTGAATGTAGCCATAGCCACTCGCGAGGTTCAGAGCGCAATGCACACTTTTCACTCACTGATCCGGAGAACTAGAACCAGGATTCTCTCAGTCTTCTAGAAGAGACGTAGTTCACCTGGCAAGCCTGAGGTAGTCACTCCAGCCGCTTTTCAAGTGCAGTGCCCTGCTGGTGTAGGCCCAGGCCTGCTGGAACAGTCTGTGGTGTCGTTTGTGCCGCAGTAAAACCAGCCTTGAGAAAGGGAGACCGTAGCAGAAACAGTAGAAGCGAAAGAACAACGTACCTTCACCACCGCCACGGCGACAGTCGACGACAACCACCACGACCGCTACTGCTGCTGTTTCTGCTCCTTCCTCCTGCTCCTCCTGCTCTTTTCCGACTCCCCTACCGCTTTACCACTACCACAACGACGACTGCGGTGCCATTGCAGTACCATGCAGTCGTGCTGCTGCAGTATTACAGTAGCAGTGCTACAGTAGTAGTAGTAGTAGTAG